TGCAGAGGTCAGTAGTATGAAAAGGTGAGTGCAGAGGTCAGTAGTATGCAACGGAGAGTGCAGAGGTCAGTAGTATGTAACAAAGAGTGCAGAGGTCAGTAGTTTGTAATGCAGAGTGCAGAGGTCAGTAGTATGTAACAAAGAGTGCAGAGGTCAGTAGTTTGTAATGCAGAGTGCAAAGGTCTGTAGTATGTAACGGAGTGTGCAGAGGTCAGTAGTTTGTAATGCAGAGTGAAGAAGTTAGCAGCATGTAACCAGAGTGCAGTGTTCAGTAGTATGCAATGCAGAAATTAGTAAGTAATGCACAGGGCAGGGATCAGCAGTTTCTAATGAGTTCAGGGGTCAGCAGTATGTAACCCCAAAACACCCGATTCTATTACAAACTTCACCTGGCAGAGTGAGAGTAGTCCTCCCAGGTGTCCTCTCAACTGTGTCATACAACACATCAGAGCCAAGCCGGTACCTGGGACTTTCTTTGGCTCTGTACCAGGGGTGGACTGACAACTCATGGGGCCCCCGGGCAATAGGGGGTCATGGGGCCCCTGTGTCCTTGCCCAAACTCAAAAAAGCCTATGAAAAAGGTACCAGGGGCATCTCATGGGGCCCCCTACTGAACCCCGGCCCTCGGGCAGTGTCCGAGTTTCCAAATGGGTCAGTCCGCCCCTGCTCTGTACCAATCTGAGGTCAGAAAGTTAGTAGGCAGGGTCAGGTGCATGGCAGGGTTGTAATCTACCCATTGCATGGCTGCTATGGATGTGCTGCTGACCACCTCTTTAAATAAAATTAAGGATTTAGCGACACTTCAACCTGAGTACAAGGGACACATCCTATTATACATTTATATAGCTCTGACATATACCGCAGTGCTGTACAGAGATCGCTGAGCTAGTCACATCAGTCTCTGTACCAGAGGAGCTTACACTCTAATGTCCCCTCCCCCCACAGTCACACACTATTATTATACATTTATATAGCTCTGACATATACCGCAGCGCTGTACAGAGATCACTGACCCAGTCCCTTCATTCTCTGTACCAGAGGAGCTTACACTCTAATGTCCCCTCCCCCACAGTCACACACTATTGTTATACATTTATATAGCTCTGACATATACCGCAGCGCTGTACAGAGAACACTGAGCCAGTCCCATCAGTCTCTCTGTACCAGAGGAGCTTACACTCTAATGTTCCCTCCCCCACAGTCACACACTATTGTTATACATTTATATAGCTCTGACATATACCACAGCGCTGTACAGAGAACACCAAGACAAATCAGTCTCTGTACCAGAGGAGCTTACACTCTAATGCTCCCAAGGCATTCATTTGTGGACTGTGGTATGAAAGCCACGTAACACACACAGGGAGATTATACAAATCCCATGAAGATGGTGTCCTCGGACCCCGGGGTTGGGCCCTCATTTACCAAAGGTTTGTACCAAATGAACAAAATCCCGGAGGGTCTCTACAACATTAAACGTAGTCTGCGATCTTCAAAGCCGGTTCCTCGGAGGCCTTCACAGGCCATCCTGACATCACCTGCATCATCTGGCAGATGTCTGGTCCATTTCTGGAAGCGATCATGTGATCCCAGGGGCCGCAGGAAGTAGGTGAGCCAGTATTTATATCCCGAGCCTCAGCCCTATTTCTGAACCTGAAGCCCATCCAAATGGCGGAGACACTTCTGGTCCCAAACTGTCAGGGAACATCGTTTATTTCCAGTGCGAGGTGAGCGGGACGATTCGCCGAGGGAAATTTCCATAAGCTCATGCATCAAAGTGTCAGAGCTGCGGCGCAGAAAGAAAATCTGACCTATATTTGTGAACCCAAAAGGTCAACGCTGATAATATATTTTCTGTGGGACTGGGAGGTGTAAAATACATAACTGCCAGGGGGGGCTGCCGGGACAAGGATCCCATCTCGCTAGATAAACGCCAATGCAGGATGGTGACAGCCAAGAGCATGCGACTCTTCAAAGGGCCTCAGACGATGATAAGTAGAACTCCGGTCAAGCAGCTATAATGGAAAAGGCCGATCGTATTCTCTGCCATGCAGAACGCTAGAACAGGCCCTTCCTCTGCTCCCTTCACCCAGCAGGAGGCACTATGGAAGGGAGGCGGTATGGAAGACAGTAAGGAAGAAAGGCAGTAAGTATGGAAGACAGTAAGGAAGGAAGGCAGTAAGGAAGGAAGGCAGTAAGGAAGGAAGGCAGTAAGGAAGGAAGGCAGTAAGGAAGGAAGGCAGTAAGTATGGAAGGCAATAAGGAAGGAAGGCAGTAAGGAAGGAAGGCAGTAAGTATGGAAGGCAGTAAGGAAGGAAGGCAGTAAGTATTGAAGGCAGTAGGAAGGAAGGAAGGAAGGAAGTAAGTATGGAAGGCAGTAAGTATGGAAGACAGTAAGGAAGGCAGGCAGTAAGGAAGGAAGGCAGTAAGTATGGAAGGCAGTAAGTATGGAAGACAGTAAGGAAGGAAGGCAGTAAGTATGTAAGGCAGTGTGTATGGACGGCAGTAAGGAAGGAAGGTAGTAAGTATGGAAGACAGAAAGGAAGGAAGGCAGTAAGGAAGGAAGTCAGTAAGGAAGGAAGGCAGGAAGGCAGTAAGTATGGAAGACAGTAAGGAGGGAAGGCAGTAAGTATGGAAGACAGTAAGGAAGGAAGGCAGTAAGTATGGAAGACAGTAAGGAAGGAAGGAAGGCAGTAAGTATGGAAGACAGTAAGGAAGGAAGGAAGGCAGTAAGTATGGAAGACAGTAAGGAAGGAAGGCAGTAACTATGGAAGACAGTAAGGAAGGAAGGCAGTAAGGAAGGAAGACAGTAAGGAAGGAAGGCAGTAAGTATGGAAGACAGTAAGGAAGGAAGGCAGTAAGTATGGAAGGCATAAGGAAGGAAGGCAGTAAGGAAGGAAGGCAGTAAGTATGGAAGGCAGTAAGGAAGGAAGGCAGTAAGTATGGAAGGCAGTAAGGAAGGAAGGAAGGCAGTAAGTATGGAAGGCAGTAAGTATGGAAGACAGTAAGGAAGGCAGGCAGTAAGTATGGAAGGCAGTAAGTATGGAAGGCAGTGTGTATGGACGGCAGTAAGGAAGGAAGGTAGTAAGTATGGAAGACAGAAAGGAAGGAAGGCAGTAAGGAAGGAAGTCAGTAAGGACGGAAGGCAGGAAGGCAGTAAGTATGGAAGACAGTAAGGAGGGAAGGCAGTAAGGAAGGAAGACAGTAAGGAAGGAAGGCAGTAAGTATGGAAGACAGTAAAAGAAGGAAGGCAGTAAGTATGGAAGGCAGTAAGGAAGGAAGGCAGTAAGTATGGAAGGCAGTAAGGAAGGAAGGCAGTAAGTATGGAAGGCAGTAAGGAAAGGAAGGAAGGAAGGCAGTAAGTATGGAAGGCAGTAAGTATGGAAGGCAGTAAGTATGGAAGGCAGTAAGTATGGAAGACAGTAAGGAAGGCAGGCAGTAAGTATGGAAGGCAGTAAGTATGGAAGACAGTAAGGAAGGAAAGCAGTAAGTATGGAAGACAGTAAGGAAGGAAGGAAGGCAGTAAGTATGGAAGGCAGTAAGTATGGAAGACAGTAAGGAAGGCAGGCAGTAAGGAAGGAAGGCAGTAAGTATGGAAGACAGTAAGGAAGGAAGGCAGTAAGTATGTAAGGCAGTGTGTATGGACGGCAGTAAGGAAGGGAGGTAGTAAGTATGGAAGACAGAAAGGAAGGAAGGCAGTAAGGAAGGAAGTCAGTAAGGAAGGAAGGCAGGAAGGCAGTAAGTATGGAAGACAGTAAGGAGGGAAGGCAGTAAGTATGGAAGACAGTAAGTATGGAAGACAGTAAGGAAGGAAGGCAGTAAGTATGGAAGACAGTAAGGAAGGAAGGCAGTAAGTATGGAAGACAGTAAGGAAGGAAGGAAGGCAGTAAGTATGGAAGACAGTAAGGAAGGAAGGCAGTAAGTATGGAAGACAGTAAGGAAGGAAGGAAGGCAGTAAGTATGGAAGACAGTAAGGAAGGAAGGCAGTAAGTATGGAAGACAGTAAGGAAGGAAGGCAGTAAGTATGGAAGACAGTAAGGAAGGAAGGCAGTAAGTATGGAAGACAGTAAAGAAGGAAGGCAGTAAGTATGGAAGGCAGTAAGTATGGAAGGCAGTAAGTATGGAAGGCAGTAAGGAACGAAGGAAGGCAGTAAGGAAGGAAGGCAGTATGGAAGGAAGGCAGTATGGAAGGAAGGCAGTAAAGAAGGAAGGCAGTAAAGAAGGCAGTAGAGAAGGAAGGTAGTATTGAAAGAAAGTATGGAAGGCAGCAAGTAGGAAAGGAGGCCAGTATGGAAGGAAGACAGTAAGAAAAGTAGTAAGTAGGGAAAGCAGTAAGGAAGGCACTATGAAAGGAAGGCAGTAATTATGAATGGCAGGCAGTTAAGAAGGCAGTATGGAATGCAATAGGTAGGGAAACCAGCATGGAAGGCAGTATGGAATACAGTAAGCATGGAAAGAAGTATGGAAGGCAGTCTGTAGGGAAAGCAGTATGGAAGGAAGGCAGAAAGTAAGAAAAGCAGTAAGTGGGGAAAGCAGTAAGTATGGAACACAGTAAGTATGGAAGGTAGGCAGTAAGGATGGAAGGTAGTACATCAAGTGGCCCAAAAGCAGCAATGCGATGGCCCAATGGTGCCTACTAGGGAGGAGAAAAATTCAGCAATTTTACAATCACAAAAATTTGGGTAAAATTTGCCAGAATTTCAGTTAAAAGTGAGACAATTTGCAGAAATTTTGCCATTTTACCAAAATGCACTGGAGTCAATGTGACATTAAAAAGCCGACTCTCACTTTACCCATTCAGAGCCAACTGACAATGAGGGACGTTCATGAAAACTGTATTTTGTTTGCAGACGTTAACCTGTGCTTCTTTTATTTCTAAATCCTCCCTCCGGCCTCCCCCTCAGTCTTGCACAGGTGTACCGGCTCCTCCCCTTCAGTCTTGCACAGGTGTACCGGCTCCTCCCCTCCAGTCTTGCACAGGTGTACCGGCTCCTCCCCTCCAGTCTTGCACAGGTGTACCGGCTCCTCCCCTCCAGTCTTGCACAGGTGTACCGACTCCTCCCCTCCAGTCTTGCACAGGTGTACCGGCTCCTCCCCTCCAGTCTTGCACAGGTGTACTGACTCCTCCCCTCCAGTCTTGCACATGTGTACCGGCTCCTCCCCTCCAGTCTTGCACAGGTGTACAGGCTCCTCCCCTCCAGTCTTGCACAGGTGTACCGACTCCTCCCCTCCAGTCTTGGACAGGTGTACCAGCTCTTCCCCTCCAGTTTTGCACAGGTGTACAGGCTCCTCCTCTTCAGTCTTGCACAGGTGTACCGGCTCCTCCCCTTCAGTCTTGCACAGATGTATCGGCTCCTCCCCTTCAGTCTTGCACAGATGTATCGGCTCCTCCCCTTCAGTCTTGCACAGGTGTACCGGCTCCTCCCCTTCAGTCTTGCACAGATGTACCGGCTCCTCCCCTTCAGTCTTGCACAGATGTACCGGCTCCTCCCCTTCAGTCTTGCACAGGTGTACCAGCTCCTCCCCTAGCTTGAAACTGCTTACTCTGATTTCACTGCACACTATGAGCTTCTCACAATGTGCATTAGAATCTGCAGCAAGTCAGCTCTGTTAGAAGATGAAGTAAGCAGCATCATTTAGCCCTTTCCTCCCCAGCCTGTCCTTGGCCCGCCCACTTTTCATTCATTGGATTTCAGTTCTTTCAGTCATGGGGACTGAGCATCACATGCCAAGCTTGGCAGGCGCTCCCGTCTGCTGAAAGCGGGGGGGGGGGGGGGGTATACATCCAAAATGAAGCACCGTGGCTGTGGTGTGTGTACACCCCAAGCCGCTGAAGGGGGAGCGTTTGGAAGGGAAGTAAAAACACAGATCAGCTGCGGGGTTTTACTGCCCCTCAAATGCTAGTGTGAAGAAGTCCAAAAGCTTTTTAGATATTTGTGTTGCTGACAGGGAAAAAGAAAAATCAGAACAGGTGAAATATCAGCAGATTATAACTCATAATATCATGACACAATTTTCTTCCCCCAAGTACAGATTTATTGTCTGTGTGCATTTTGTGTAATAAATTAGCTGCTCTGAAAATTAACATATCTGGGCGCATTTCAAAACTCCTCCTTAGCATTTCTAATTTCTGCAACATTTGCGAGGTGGAATTTTCTCCCAAAATAAGATGTGTCACAACTAGAGATGCAAAATGTACCGGCTGAAAACAGTGTCATAGATAGGAAAAACGGGCCTGATAACAGCTGTCACAAAACGTGCGATTTTACCCGTGATTTTTTCACAATTTTACCACATTTAGGGTGCATTTTAACCTCCCTAGCGGTCTGATTATGTCAGCATTTCTGTGCTCAAAGCGGTACATTTTTTTGCATGGAAATTTGTCTTTTTTTATTGTAGGCTGTAATTTTTAGGAATAACTCACTGAAATCTGTCCGAACAAGAGTCTAGTAAACATCCCGGGGATGAAAAAACTGGAAACACGAAATCATAAATTATAATTTAATAAATAATCATAAAAAATAATAATATAATAATAATAATAAATTTAATTCAATAATATAATCAAACCAAAAACACTGAAATGTGAAATAGAGCGCCAAGTTCGCACATCGCTGAGCTCAGTCGCAGAATCGTTTTCAGTGTCTGATGAGGAATTTCCCCACGAATCATCACTCAAAACACTTGACAGGTCCCAGAAGACTAAGGGACCATTCACAAAGCACAGCGCTTCTCGCGCATGTGCAGTGGGCACCGGCTGAGCCCAAACTGAAGATGCCGGCGCCGACACCCACAGCGGTTTGCATGAACTATTCTGATGCGGTGTGTAATTTCGCACAGAAAACGCTGTGAATTCCAGACCGCATCAGTGTGAACCCAGGCTAAATAAATGACATGACCAGGTGGGCGGAGCCCCGCATGGCCGTGTTTTTCTTTTTAAATTGTGACAGCGAGTTTGGGGAGAAGATCTCTGGCTTGCAGTTACTAGAGGCTCAGGGAGCGGCCGCAGCTAAAAACAGGTGGAATATGCAACATGTCTCCCGAAGGGGAACTTATCTTTGAAGAAGGCCCTGCTCTAGAAGCTGGAAATCACCCACAATCCTCCGGGTCCCATGCTGAGTGGCTGCCCTGCTGCATTCTGAACACTGGAGGTTGGCCCCATGGCACAGGCGCCATTCACAGAATGGTTTGCATTTTCTCAATTAATGCAAAGCATTCTCTGACTGGACAAGGAGGAGAGCGTGACAGCACTGCCCAGACTCGTCCAACCAGAGAACGCTTTGCATTCAGGATTTTTGTTCATCTTTGGAGAGCCGTGATGTCACTTTCAGAAAATGCTAAATTGCCATAACAGCAAATTTAGAACATAGAAGACATCAAAATCACCAATGTATCCCCAAGCTGACAGGCCACAGTTTCTCCAAAACGTTGGTAGTTTTGATGTCTTCTATGTGCTGTTATTACAATGAAGACCTTCGTAAAGGTTTGAGGTCTTCACATGGTGGCCATTTAGGTGTCTTGGATTCCACGGTATCACCGTTGGCCGTGCACCCTGCCGAAGGCGTTCAATGTTACCGTACGATGGTTGGGTTTTTGTTCATTTTTGGGGAGCAGAGATGTCACTTTCATAAAATGCTAAATTGCCATAACAGCAAATTTAGAACATAGAAGACATCAAAATCACCAATGTATCAGAGAGCTTGTGGCCTCCTTCCTCAAGGTTTGAGGTCTTCACTTGGTGGCCATTTTCAAGCTGGCAGACAAGAAAAGAGGCCAGTTTCTCCAAAAACGTTGGTAGTTTTGATTACTTCTATGTGCTGTTATTACAATAAAGACCTTTGTAAAGATTTGAGGTCTTCACTTGGTGGCCATTTTCGTATCTTGCATTCCACGGTATCGCCGTTGGCCGTGCACCCTGCCGAAGGCGTTTACTGTTACCGTACGATGGATGGATTTTTGTTCATCTTCGGAGAGCAGTGATGTCACTTCCATAAAATGCTAAATGGCTATACAGCAAATTTAGAACATAGAAGACATCAAAATCACCAATGTATCGAAGACCTTTTGGCCTCCTTCCTCAAGATTTGAGGTCTTCACTTGGTGGCCATTTTCGTGACTCTGTGACCTCCTTTTTCTAGCTGGCAGACAGGAAAAGAGGCCAGGTTCTCCAAAAACATTGGTAGTTTTGATTACTTTTATGTGCTGTTATTACAATAAAGACCTTCGTAAAGATTTGAGGTCTTCACTTGGTGGCCATTTTCGTATCTTGCATTCCACAGTATCACAGTTGTCGCTGTGCACCCTGTCAAAGGCGTTCAATGTTACCGTTTTGATTACTTCTATGTGCTGTTATTACAATGAAGACCTTCGTAAAGATTGAGGTCTTCACTTGGTGGCCATTTAGGTGTCTTGGATTCCACGGTATCACCGTTGGCCGTGCACCCTGCCGAAGGCGTTCAATGTTACCGTACGATGGTTGGGTTTTTGTTCATTTTTGGGGAGCAGAGATGTCACTTTCATAAAATGCTAAATTGCCATAACAGCAAATTTAGAACATAGAAGACATCAAAATCACCAATGTATCGGAGACCTTTTGGCCTCCTTCCTCAAGATTTGAGGTCTTCACTTGGTGGCCATTTTCGTGACTCTGTGACCTCCTTTTTCTAGCTGGCAGACAGGAAAAGAGGCCAGTTTTTTCTCCAAAAACGTTGGTAGTTTTGATTACTTCTATGTGCTGTTATTACAATAAAGACCTTCGTAAAGATTTGAGGTCTTCACTTGGTGGCCATTTTCGTATCTTGCATTCCACAGTATCGCCATTGGTCGTGCACCCTGTCAAAGGCGTTCAATGTTACCGTTTTGATTACTTCTATGTGCTGTTATTACAATGAAGACCTTCGTAAAGATTCGAGGTCTTCACTTGGTGGCCATTTAGGTGTCTTGGATTCCACGGTATCACCGTTGGCCGTGCACCTTGCCGAAGGCGTTCAACGTTACCATACGATGGATGGGTTTTTGTTCATCTTCGGAGAGCAGTGATGTCACTTCCATAAAAATGCAAAATTGCCATAACAGCAAATTTAGAACATAGAAGACATCAAAATCACCAACGTATCAGAGAGCTTGTGGCCTCCTTCCTCAAGGTTTGAGGTCTTCACTTGGTGGCCATTTTTGTGACTCTGTGACCTCCTTTTTCAAGCTGGCAGACAAGAAAAGAGGCCAGTTTCTCCAAAAACGTTGGTAGTTTTGATTACTTCTATGTGCTGTTATTACAATAAAGAACTTGGTAAAGATTTGAGGTCTTCACTTGGTGGCCATTTTCGTATCTTGCATTCCACAGTATTGCCGTTGGCCGTGCACCCTGTCAAAGGCGTTCAATGTTACCGTTTTGATTACTTCTATGTGCTGTTATTACAATGAAGACCTTCGTAAAGATTTGAGGTCTTCACTTGGCGGCCATTTAGGTGTCTTGGATTCCACGGTATCACAGTTGGTCGTGCACCCTGCGGAAGGCGTTCAACGTTACCGTTTTGATTACTTCTATGTGTTGTTATTACAATGAAGACCTTCGTAAAGATTTGAAGTCTTCACTTGGCGGCCATTTAGGTGTCTTGGATTCCACGGTATCGGAAGGCGTTCAACGTTAGATCCTTACTTCTATGTGCCAATGAAGACCTGCGTAAAGATTTGAGGTCTTCCTGCGGAAGGCGATTCAACGTTATCACAGTTGGCCGTGCACCCTGCGGAAGGCGTTCAACGTTATTGTTTTGATTACTTCTATGTGCTGTTATTACAATGAAGACCTTCGTAAAGATTTGAGGTCTTCACTTGGCGGCCATTTAGGTGTCTTGGATTCCACGGTATCACAGTTGGCCGTGCACCTTGCCGAAGGCGTTCAACGTTACCGTACGATGGATGGGTTTTTGTTCATCTTCGGAGAGCAGTGATGTCACTTCCATAAAATGCTAAATGGCCATTTGAGAGACGGGACATGATCTCATCCAACACAGAAATGACGATACCCGACACGGATATTCAGAAGATAGGAGATGTGTGTGTGGGGGGGGGGGTGGAGGCGGAGGACGAGGGGTGGCGGTGGAGGTGTCAGCCTGCTAATGTAAGCAGGAACCGGTCCTGATGAAAATGAGATGCCCACAGCTGCGGGGGGTAATCTATCAACGGCGGTTATTTGAATGAAGCGCAGGATTAGAATACATTAATGAAATGAATTCAGTAAACAGATCATCTGCTCGGCTAAACTGACAGTGTGGATGATTATGCAGGATGTCTCCTCACACCGCTCACATCTTCCTGAGCGCACCTCCAACATTTGATGAACGCAGCGGGGATTTTCCTGTCTACAAAACTGTCACAAACGTCCAAGCGTTGTCGGATGCAGAACCGGGCCGCGCCTAGTGTTTTGACTTCTTGTTACAGGGAAATTATA